GGACGTTGTTCTTAGAAGTGATGTAGTCAGCCAAGTTGTGGTCCATAACCAGACGAAGAAGTCGGTTCAGTAGAGTCAGGTCGATCTTCTCGTAGACCTTGGACAGTTCCGTCTCGATCATCACGTTTGTCTCCCCATCAGCAGTTTCCCAAACATTAGACAGATTGTTAATTCCTTGAGCCCACTTGTAGGTCAACAGAGGAGGAACTTCAGAATCAGAGGGTTTGATCCAAGCGGGGAACAGGTGGCGCTGTTCAGCCTGGTACCAAAGATACTGATCCAAATAGGCATCCGTAATTTTCTCGATGGGCTCGATATCATAAACGGGGTTGATGTTGTTGTAGTTGTCGTTCATGTCAATCCCAACTTCCTTGAAAGCACGCTGTGTAAGGAGGAAACGCTTAATCCTGGCTAATGTCGTTCCAGGAGAATCGTATGCCTGTTCAATAAGGGCCAATTCCTCACGCTGACTCTGGTTCAACCGTCCCTTGACAGAGTAGGACTCACGTAAACGCTCCAAAGCAAGAATCAAAATCTTTGTATCGTGCTTGTATGAAACACTGGGGAATGGGATTGGCGAAAACTTGCGAGACTCTAGCCAGTGCACCATTGTAGTGTAAATAGCCACAGCCTCTTCAGATGACACGTAGGGGCCGTCCTTGAGATAGTTGTGTTGCCGCTCTTGCTCGGCTTTGAGCCAAAGACGAGTCAGCCGACCCAAGTTCTTCTTCGCGACAGTCTTGTCTACCGTCGCGCCACGTCTAATTCTCTCACGGTTGTAATGCGCTACTGAAATCCACCAATCTGCCTTGCTCTTGACATATCGCAAAATGATGTTCTCGATAGGCGCAGGGAGGCCAGGGACCTTCCAAGGGATGTTACTCTTCCAGCACCTCCACGCTTCCGAAAGATGCTGTAGAACGGTGTTCACCTTATTCTGTTTGATCCCCTCGGGCATCATATCCATCAAATCAGCCATGACAGACGCACGGAGTTCAAGATCGAAATGAGACTCCACACGTTGCTTGGTGACTGTCTTGGCGACTCCCTTGCTGTGACGGCCTTCGAACTGACGAGAGAGCAAGTTTCCGAGCCATCTTTCAAGGAGGGGAATGATACCACGCATGAAGAAGAGCCAGACACGCCAGGCTGGGGCCCAGAAACCGCAACCAGGACCCTTGCCGACGGGTCCAGAGTTGAAACGGTAGTAGATGAGATGCTTCAAATCTTTGCAAGATCGGATCTGGTGCATCAACTTGTACTTGTATCGGTACATACCAGTCAGCTGTCCAACGTGGTTGAAAGCATAGAGGATACCATCGGCCAACTGGAAGGCGTCAATGTTACCCAGGCGGTATTGAACCTGGGCGTCGACAATCAGCTTCGTGAGGCGGAGAATTTCACGCATCAGGTGGAAAGCGTTTCCAAAACGAGACTTCTTTCGCTCCTTGGTTGTCAGAGTCTTGACAGGCTTCAAGTTGAAGTTGTAATCCAAGTGCAGGTATGTCAAATTCTTGCGGTGGATCAAGAGATTCAGCATGTTGAAACCTTGACGGCAGACCTGCAGACCAGCTTCAACCCAGTCGATTGTTGTCTGTTGGAAGAACTTGGTCGACTTCAGAGTCTTTAGAAGATCTTGTTTGCTTTGAGCCTTGGGCTTATTTTGGTGTAACTCGTTAAGCACGTATGTCTTGAGAAGCTTCTGGTATGACACGCGGACTTTGACGGGCTGACCCTGAGGGCAATGCTCCAAGTACCACTGCTTAACCAGAGGAACATCCTGCGCGCGAACCATCTTTCCAGATCGCTTATTGAACGGATGAGGAGCCCACCACAAGGCGATGGCGGACGCGGTCTCAGGGGTGTAGAGATCTTCATCCGCGAAGAATGGCTCAACCTCCTCGGGAAGCTCAAAGTCATCCTCATTTTGTCCATGTCCAAATATCTCATCCTCGTGGCTAATTGAAATGTTTTTGGGCGCGACGGAACGGGAAGAGATCGGGTTGATGACAGGGTCGAAGTAGAAAGCAGGAAGGTTGGGATCGTCGGTCCGGACATATACGACTTGCGGGTGGGAGTACCAAGAAATTTTGACGCTTCTTGGGAGTGTATTATACAGGAAGGGATAAGCGACTCGGTATTCTGTTCGGATTGGCGCGCGGAAGATGATACGGTCGATTGCGTTGAACTCGCTAAAGTCCTCGTCATTAGGATCAATGTCCTTGTACAGAGGTTCGAAGCGAGGACCACCAGGAATAGCGACGTTTAGCGCCTTCGCGGTGAGGAAACTGTTCAAATCGAACATATGAAAGTAGTTTTTGTCGACCACATCACTCAGAAGCTGGTGACTTAATCGATAAAGGGTGGCCATTTGTGGAAGATCCAAGTTCCACTTCCTATAGCTCGGTCCATTTACATGGGGCGTATCAAGAAGCGGTCGGTGGTCGTAGAGCCATTCGTAGACGGGCCCATCTTCAGACTCATCAAGTTCCATCTGAATAGGCTCTAGCGGCTCAACGTCCTCGATATTCTCTGACCACGACAGCGGAGGTTCTTCATCATCAAACGGAGGGAATCGCATGCGCTTGAAGTGTCTTCGGTCACTCTTCTCTCTTCGCATACACACCCACATCGTCGCCCACTGGGCATGGAACACGGGCTCAATAACTCTCGGCGTCTCATTAACAAGAGTAAGGCACCCGTTGACGTGGTACAAAACCTTCACCTCCCTTGTAGATTCCCAGGGCATAGGCATGTTCTCGAGTAGTTTCAGGACAGCATGAGGCATGAACTTGAGGGCACCGAGATAGCTGCGCTTCTCGTTGGTGAATTTTTTCTGAGACACATCGCCAATGTCCCTTACGATCTTGCGGAGATGCTCCGGGGGCATATCAGCCTTCTGTGATTCAACAAACCCGCCCTTTCTCTTCTCTCCAAACCGGTTCCGTTGTGTCCGCAACCATTCCGTCTTCTTCTGTGCAAATTTCGCGACGGTCGGGTCGGCGGGCGGCTGGTAGCCCGGAGGAGGTGGCGCCAAAGGCATTGAGGGCGGCGCTGACGCACCCCATCCTGGAGGAGGGGGAGGAGGCAGCGAAGCCATCGCGATTGACGTGATTGAGGAGTAACACTGGGTTGTCTCTGGGGTTGACGTGCAGTCGCGTCAAGACTCAAGCCGGGGAAAAGATCCTGCCGACCGGATTCATCAGTCAGGATATGCGGAGGGGATAGGAAAGATATGATAAATCGTGTCGGAAAGCAAGTGCAAGATTATTAAGAAAGAAAACAAACTCCAGGACAGTCCCCTTCCCACGACAACGATGGAAGACGATTCTTTCTTCACGTCGGGCTCCTTTCTCGCGATGCAAGCTCGAAAAGAGGTGGCGGCTCGAACTCTTGGCACACTAGTCCGTAAGCGGACTTAGCGCGCTCTCGCCAAAAAGGCGCTAGCGCGGCCTCTGAGGGCTCCGAGAAACCCACACAAATCCAGACGATTGCAAGAATTCTACGAGGTTCACGACGACAACCGACGACGACGCCAATATCTTGACCACCCCTGCCAGGTTCAAGCACAGTCAAAATGCCTAACAACAGACTGCAATACGTGAGTATTTTAGCCGTTATTTTTATTTACTGTCGAGTTATATCGAAACAAAAATGAATGCTAATTGAACCTTTTTCTTCTTTTCAGCGCCGCCGGAACCCGTACGTTTTGAAACCCCTCTCCCAACGTTTTATCGTGCCCAGTCGTATCCGTCTCTACGATACAATGATGCGAATTTTTGAATTGTGATCGGATTGGATATGATGTGGCCTTTTTTTTTTTTGAGGATTTCGCACGAACAGGATATTGATGGATTTTCGCACACAGGTACAACACACGGTCCAACCGCGTTCGCATCGTCAAGACCCCCGGCGGCGAGCTGCGATACCAGCACATCAAGAAGCAGGGTACCGCTCCCAAGTGCGGTGACTGTGGCATCAAGCTCCCCGGTGTGAGTACCCGAGTCCCCCGAATTTTCGTTCGCTGGAATGTTCGCTTCACGAGCGGGAGGAGGAAAAAGCGTCGAGAGGATGGCGTCCACAGTAACAAAATAAGCCTGGAACAATGAGACTGACGGTCACTTTTTCTTTTCTTCAGGTCCCCGCCCTCCGTCCCCGCGAGTACGCCCAGATCTCGCGTCCCAAGAAGAACGTCAGCCGTGCCTACGGTGGTTCCCGCTGCGCTGGCTGCGTCAAGGACCGCATTGTCCGTGCTTTCCTGATTGAGGAGCAGAAGATCGTCAAGAAGGTGCTCAAGGAGTCTCAGCAGAAGGCCGGCAAGCGCTAAAGGGTTGCATATCAAAGCTCGGTGTTTTGTGTTTAGTGGAAAGCAATCAATCATGCAAAAATAAAATTTGACTGGGTATGGTTCTTTTTGTGAACACTAGTGCGGCTAGAAATGTCGTAGCTATTCGACGAATACACTTTTCATGACAGTCTTCCAAGTATCATGATCTTGTCCGAAACAAAACTACCTCGAGACCGAGCAGGCTGGGGCCAATATGTACATTCCTAAGTCTTTGGTTCTTCGCCCTTGATTCCAAGCTCCCAGCACTCATACTTATCTAAACTGTAGAGCTTCACGCAGAGTAGGTCAAACCAATCCATAATTCAGCCCAGTCCCATGGAGTTATATCCATAGCCATCTTAGTGTCATACAGCAGTGATCCCTTACATCTCGGCCCTGATCCCAGTCCTAGGCCCAGTCTCATGGTACGCCATTCCTAAAGTCTGAGACCCTGTCATCAGATTGGACAGGGACGATGCGCAAGAGGCCCCTAGTAGTAGGTAGTGCAGCTAAAAGTAAAACAGTCGACAACCCTCGGTGCTTAAACCTCTACAGATGCATGTCACGTAGACAAATGATACCTTCCCCTCGTTCCTCTAAGCTTCATTAGAAATCCAATCCGCAGGGCCAAATTCGCCACCAAACGCCGCATCGTCAAACGAAACGAACATCCATGGGCCCCGAACGCACCAGAAAGGGCCTTTGTGTGGGTGAAGAAAGAATAAGCAACGAACCGACTAGCCTAACAGTTAAGTACCCAAACCGCACTGGGGCTACTCAGCCAAAGTACGAGGCACCCCAGCGTCCCGAGGCGAATGGTGACTGGGGAGAAGAAATTGCTCGATCGATGCGAGCCTTAAACGATGTGGAGTTGTATGGATATCCAAAACTACAAAGTACGAGGTTAGATCAAAACACCGGCTGACAGAGTAGTGCTTCTGGTGATTTGAGTTTCTGGGTAGGGAAATGTCCAGGATCGGATCTGAGCTCTGAGAGTATTCTCGGCGTGGAAGGAGGCTGCTACTATGATCTGAAGGAAAGAGAATAGAGTCAACTAATATGCATACCATAAATCACGCCTCGAGGCCAGGCATGGAAGTGGTGGAAAGGAAAGCTGATCAGTCGGAAGTACCGTTCAGCTCCACACGTTCGTTCATTTAAACGAGATACCTAGTTGGTCGAGGCATCGGACGAACCGATCCGTAGAAACTGATGATCCATGATCGTTCTGCTCGTCGCCGTATCGGGAAAGTAGAGAGTGAGGTTCCTCGCCTTCCGGCGTTCGCAGCCGCCCACCCTAAAAGTCTTGTTGCCCGCCGTGCAGGTCGCTAGAAAGGGGCCCGCTCGGCCCTTGGGTCAGTAAGTATCCGAGGTGTATAGGCATTGTGGTGGGGATCGGGGCGCTGATTTGCTCACTTCCGATGCAGGGAATTCTGGTTGGGGTTTTTATACTTCTATTCGCCAGTTCAAGGGCCTACAAGGACTCAATGACAACCAATGGGAGGTTGTGGTTCTGGAGGGGTATAAACAACCCAGAAGAGCGTCGGTATGTTCCAAGGAGCTTGGACTGAAGGTGGGAAGAGGTCGGGGAGATCATCGAGAGACATGTTCAGTTGCTCAGTCCGAGGAGGGAAGGCACGAGTTGACATCTCCGCGGGGCCGGATTCTGACGCACATCACACTCGGTCCTTCCCTGTGTACCGAACACTGTACGATCTGTGGGTAGCCTACTGAGCGGTGAGCTGTGGCACATTTTCATCCTTCCCAGAGCATTAATCGATGGAGGCTGACGTCTAAAAGTACTGCAGGCAGCGAATATGCTTCAGGCAAACAGAGCGCTAACAAATCGCACTCAGAGCGTCGCAGCAGATTATCTCGTGCCATTCCAGCATGGCGGTAGGGATCTGAGATCAGGCAAAATTGACGGGGTTGTCACTGGGACCGAAATGACAGATAATGTCATGCACGTCGGAACCAAGTCACACTGGGACGCCAAAAAAGAAACAGAATCAACCAAGGGAGCCCGGAAAAAGTACGACTGTGGCCGAAGCGGCGAATTCCGATGGCTGCCTTGGAAACTACCTAATTAGATTGGCAATATAGTGGCGTTCGAGAAGAGAACGGATGTACGGCGGCAGTCGAGTACGTCCCGTTCTGGCTCTGGGTGATTGGCGAGGGCAGAAATTCAATACGTTTGGTATGAATCTGCTCAAACCGACTGCAATATCGAAGCTATCCAGAGTTACTATGAGTATGGCACAAAGACGAGGGCTGCTCTATATCCGAAATATCGCCCACTGAATCGCTCTCAGTCACAATTGAGTGTGATTCTTCCGGACGGGACGTTGATGCAACGGCACGGCCCGCTTAGCTGATTCCGAAGGGCGCAATTAAGCGAAAACACATTGGAAACGCCACTGGCAAGACCGAGATGAAGTTCTTTCGCCAGATATGACCGTACTTTCGCCGCTCCGCAGGACGAAATCCCCGTTACGCGCTGCCATATTCACACAGTCATTGCTGGACGACGCGGAGATGATGATAAAATGCATTAAGCACTAGTCTCTTGCACGAGCCTTCATTGACTCAGTGTTCCACATTGCGTTTACGAGTCATAAATGCATACTAGTCATAGACTTACTGTCTTCAGGGAATGACCGGGTCAAAAAGGTGTAGTGGTACGGGCATGAGGTTGATATAGCCTGGGGCCAACCATTGGATGGCAAATTTTTCCAGCCAAGCTCTGAGGGAGCAAAGTAGCACGTACCAAGTACCTACAGGAGCTGACAGCGAAATCCCTCTCGTGCGGCGGCTAACTTGGAAATCTGCTGCTAACTTGCTGGAGCAACGGGCTTGGGCCATTTGCATGCAGGCTGCCATTGACACTACCATCTTGGCAGCATTAGGGCTCTGCGGGCCGAAGGTGTCATCTCCCCCTCTAGGGTCCCTTGGGACTTTCTTCATGGGTCCGTGATGGATACTCTGCTTTGTTTCTTTGTTCGACTTGCCGAAGCGCTGATGCCGGCCTTTGTCCGGCTTTCAGGCTGATAATGATCATCTCATTGTGAAGAAATAGCCAACTATTTTGTGATCCAAACAGCACCCTCGCTCAAGTCCCTCCCATGTACTCCCCAAAGAGGCAGGAGTAAGCAACAGCCGAGTTGCCTGCGCACTGACACCCTCAAAATCGACAATTCAGACCATCAGCCACTCTCCTCCACGAACCAGGCATTCCTTGTTGTCCCTGCTGCTCCCAACCCCGACCTTTCATCCGCCAACCAAACGTCCCAACACCACCCACCAGCAGCGTCAGGCCATCCATTTTGACCATCATCCGCTTTCTGATTCGAGTAAGGGGGGCCGGAATCACAGCCAATTTGTCAATCACGAGGATTAGCAGAAAAATAAAATAATTAAGCCAGGCGGTTCTATCCCGCCTTCGGTGTTAACACTTATCGCTGGCAGGGTGGCGGCTGCCGACCATCAACAGCCAAGTTGAACCAATCGCTATTGGGGGCAGAGCACTATCAAATGGGAAGGACGACTTAATACCCCGATGGCGAAGAGACTGCCCGACTGGATGCCTTGAATCAAAGCTCACGGGCTGAAGAACCCCGACGCGAACCCTGGCTCTTAATGCCTGGCAGGCTGTCGTAGTAGTCCTAGTGCCCTATGCAGAGCTGACGGGAGGCTGTAGCTCGCCTGGGAACAAAGCCTAATATAGGTACTCCGGGTCATTATGTTCTTCGCATGTTCCTTCTTGTACCTTACAGCTTATATATATCAACACCAAGACGGCCCGACACCTCAGTTACAACCCATGTAAAACATATCTGTAACGAGAGCTAGTCGGTTTCATGGGACCCAACCCGGGCGCTCGAATTCATTATCTCGATCAGACCCGACATACTGACTGACCGATAGAAAGGAAGAGGGCACCCGATAACACCCAGCCTCCAATTTTAGCCGTTGTTCCAGCGAAAACGAATCCTTCTCTTTACTTTTTCCGTTTCCCTTTTCCCTAATCCAATAAAAATAAAAGGTTAAATAGAAAATAAATAAAATAAATAGGTAATTATAATTATTTGTTACCCTCAGGCAGCTTGCGTGGCTAGCGAAGTAAGTACTCTGCAGTCCCTCTGGAGCTGGAGGTACCTAGACAAGGCCCAGACTCGCCCTCTCCCCTCCCTCGTTCGCATCGAAATTCCATACGCCCAGACTACAGACTACAGATCGTCAAGCCAGGACCCTTGAATAATAATGTCTTTTTTTTCTCCGTATGTACGTCTCTGTGTGTATATATATATGTATGTATGTAATACATAACAGGGTCTCTGGCTGCTGTGCTAGTAGGCCCCGGAAAATAGGAAATAAAATCAAGATAGATCACAGGCCGGATTGAAATATTAGCGAGGGAGAAATAAATGGACAGGGATGATAATGACGATGGTGATGATAATTATGCATATCGATGAATGAGAGCAGAAGAAGACACGGAAGGAGGGGGAGAAGAAAAAGAAGGAGGGAAAACAGATCCCGAAGAGTCACACTCGCGCTTGACTTTGCGTGTCCTGCCAGTGTCAGTGTCAGTGCTGTTAGAAGTTAGCTGGGATTTCTCGGGATTCAAGATGATGCTTTCTTTTTCCTTCTAGATTGGGCGTCGTGGAAAGAGAGAGAGAGAGAGAGAGAGAGTGCGTGTGAAGAATGATGGACTGAATCATAATGGTCATGCTCATACTCGTAACGCCGTCAAGAACCGAGACTACGTAAGGACAGACTGCTACACTAAGTTATCGAACATCAGGTATCCTAACGTACATACATTTCCACCGTATTATTAGCTCGTTTCGGCTCGTTTTGTTTCGCGAAGGTCATCTCATCTCATCGAAATGCTGCTTTTCGGCAGAGCTAACTGGGTGAATAGATAATCCGCAGAGCAGAAAAGAGCAGGGGGGTAGATGCGTCCACGCGGACACTTTATTATAAGTTATAGCCCAACCTGAAGATCTGACGCCGAGATCTCGGAGACAGAAAAGGGCGAATGGACGCCTCCCATCCCCATAAACCCGGTATCAAAGACGAGGCAATCTGAGCTGGGCCCCGCCATGTCGCAATAAATAGGAGTTGGGGCGACGGTCGTGCAGGGGGCAGCGTTAGCACAGCCAACAAAGTTGCCTAGATTAAAGCTCTGGACGGCCGGGGGGCGTGGCATTCGGCCTGTGGTGGACGTCGTTCCTCCTGCATTGACGGGTGACAACACCGTCGTTCCTGCTGCTGGAGTGGTTGTTGTTGCTGTTGTTGCTGCTGTTGCTGCTGTCATGGGTGATGTTGGGTGGAGATACTGGGCGTGCAGGAAGTCTTTGGGAAGGCGTCGCTGTTGTTGCAATTGTTGTTGGTGAGAGTAGTTTTGAAGACTTCGAAGATGGTGAAACTGTTGCTGTTGGCGATATGCGCGTTCTCGCCGGTATTCCTCCAGGCTCATGTTATTCATGTTGTGGGCGAGGCCTCGATACTTCGCGGTGATTTTAGTTGCTTTACCCCCCTTGGCTCCAGAGCGCTGACGCTGAGGGGCTGGAGGATCTGACACCGCAGACTTTTTGTAATTTGTCTGTTTTCTATACCGGGTTGTAGATTGGATGCCGTTCTCTGCTGCATCATCCGTCAAGCGCCAATAGTTGACGGGCTTCTTCCCTGGGACGGGATCTTCTCGAACAGCTTCGAAACCCTGCCATATCTCCGGGGTCAGCAGAGCCACCGAAATCATAGAAATAATTATACTTACGGCATTCATCGACAAGTTGTGACGGATGCTGTTTTGCCAACCCTTCGAGCCCGGATCCCTCCCCTTGGCCGTGTTCTTCTCAAACCATTGGTAGATACCCTGAAGGGGCAGTTTCTTCCCGGGTGCAGCATCGAGCGCATCGAAGATGAGTTGCGAGTATGGAGGATCTGCACTGGTCTCCTCCGTTTCCTCCGGATTCGCTGGTGGTGCGGCTTCGCGATCCGCCTTAAGCTTGATGGGCGGTGGGCTCAACACGCCTAATGGAAGCGCGTGGTATGGAGCGCTGGTCGACGTGGGCGATAACCCTGTTGTCATCGTAGGATTCGCCGGCGGAGAAGGCGCTTGCGAGTGCGGGGTGAAACTAGGTCCAACAGAGTATGAGGGAGCCTTGTACAAGGAGAAGAATGACGGAGGCACCTCTGGGGACTCAGCGTGTACCCAATTCGACATATCCTTGCCAGCGGGGAGGCGCCGCATCTCAGGCCTCAATTGCCTCGATGAAGAATATCCAGGGGCCATCGGTGGCCCAGACAGTTCAGGGACGTGGCCGCCCGTACTGGGGATTATACGGGGGAGGCCATCTGATGGAGGCTCGATTGGTGACTGCGGGTGGGAAGAAAACAGAGAGCAGCTCATCGCTGGCTCGACACCCCATGGTTGTTGTTGCTGATGATAAGGTATCTTTGCATCTGGGCTGCTTGAGCTGGAATCAGACCAGCTGTCGAAGATAGACGGAGGAGTCTCTGGCGTCCTGGAGCTGGAGCTAGACGGGAGGTGGTGGTAGAGGTCGCGATTGAAGGAGGACTGGTCTAGCATAGAGCCACAAGTAGAGATGGAACGGTTCATCTTGGGCGTTCCACAGGAGTATGGACAAGGCTGCAAAGGCCAATTGAAGAATTAAGATGGGGGGATATCAGAAATTGGCTGCCGGGGGAAGCATATAAGACGCCTGGAGAAGCAGGAAAAACATGCCTGAAGATCACAAGGCGCCCATCAGGCGAGAACAAGACAAGGCTGCAAGACTGCAAAGGATCAAATAGACCCAGAAGTACTGGAAACGACTGCAGGTGCTCAGTAGTACCTTAAAGGCCCTACGTGTGACCATTGAATTAACAAGGATGCACAGCTATTGTACATAGTTGACTTGCAAGCCCACCGCCAGCTCAGACAGAAACAGAAAACGGAAACTGCTCTTTTTCCTCCTCCTCCTCCTCCTCCTCCTCCTCCTCCTCCTCCTCCTTCTTCTTCTTCTTCTCTTTCTCCTTCTCCTTCTCCTTCTCCTTCTCCTTCTCCTTCTGCAAACAGCCTACATCGTGCAGAGTGCAGAGCGCAGTTCTTTGATGCCTTCTTCCTCCCTAAACAAACAAACTCGCATCGTCCCAGTCCACTGGTTTTTGAAGCTCGAGGATTGGACAGATCTGTTGTTTCTTTTTTTCTCAGATTCAACTAAAAATAAGCCTGCTGGTAGTCGCCTAGAAGGGAAAAGAGCGGTTGTTTTGGGGTTGTCTTCGCTGGTTCTGCCTCCGTTATTGCGGGACTGCGTTTTCGCCAGGTTGTGAAACGCGATCATGCTCACATGTGGCCAATGGCTCCAGTGATTTCCGCGAGAGGCTGGATATTGTGTTACAGGAAGGCCTGCGAGCTTTTGCGACGGGTTTACTTGACAAGAGCCTACGTACAGATGCTAGACAGACCGGGATTCAGCCCCTGGTTAGTACAGGGACCGGCCGCCTGCAGCAAGCGCTGTTGCTCATCCCATGGTACTGGCTAGATCCTTAGGATTCAACTAGGATTCTAGGCAAAACGCTTCTGGAACTGACCTCATGCGTTTCCACTCGTCTGTCCCCCAAAAGACGGCGCTTCCAATGCATCCCGCAGACCCAGTGCCTTCTCCCGCTTTCCCCGACCAGCCGGAGCTCCGGAACAGACGTGCAGACAGCATGGTAGTACGGGGACGGATTGGCCCCATTAACCCCTAGAGGCAAGGGAAAAAAAGTATTAAAAATCTCTTGCGAAGCCTAGGTGACCGATATCGGCGAAACAAAGTACGCATTGCCAGATCGTGGGGTGGCTTGGGCCAAGAGTCTGGTGAACGACTGAAGGAGTGTTATAAGAGAGAGGAGGAAATAAGCATTCTATATTCGCCGCCGAGAACGCGGGAACCTTGATATGTAAGTCTTTTTTCGGCTTCTGTATCTGATATCATATGTCATGCTCCCCCGTGAGTCTGGTACCCAATCTTCTTGTTGATGGATAATGTTTCTAGTCCAATAGCAGCGCCAATTGTCCTTCTGCTGTGCGGGAAGCGCGAAGTACCGCGAAGTACCGCAACAAACGCTCGGAGCTGCAAGGGCTATTCTCGAGCCTCCAGGCCCTCCACATGCTTCTTGTGGGTCGAGTGAATCTAAAAAAAAAAGTCTGTAATGGTGCATACATAGCCATGTAGAAGCTTTCATTTGCGGTAATAGATCTAGGATTGTTAGCTTGGTGAAACAGCAATGAACGTGGTAATGGTTGTCTTACTCGTTTAAACTGGAAATGCAGTTGTAAAATTCCCTGGACATGTCAGTCAGGACGAGGTCACGAAAGCGGTGGCCCAAACATACCTTTTCAAATGTGCTTTTAAACCCTCTCTCTCGTTTGGCACTGTAATCCCACTCCTTGTCGACGATGCGGAAGGCGATATCTTCATAGGGTGGTCCCGCCATGAACCGAATAAGACAGGTATCCTCTTCCCCGGCGGCGGCAAATGATTGCCCTCGTTTTCGTCCATTTTCCCGTTCTATACGGTATGTGGGCGCTTTTGTCTTATCAATGAGGTCGGGATAAAATATGTTGAACTTGTATCCTTGGACAACCTTCGGTGGCGGATTGTCGTGGTCGTAATGTGTCTGGTTGTACTTATTCCATTCATAGCCCATTTGGACGCGGTTGAAGTATCGTGGTTTGCGAGGTCGATATTTACTAGCCCACTGAGGCTGTGCGCCTGTACTGACAGCTTCTTCTCCGGTGAAGATTTCCTCGTTTTCGCTGACCCCCTTGGCGAGCTCTCTTTCGTACAATGCCTTCGTTGCCTGAGAGAAGTCCTCGTTGGGGATCAAGGAGAAGCGAGTAGGGTTGCTGGCAATAGCGGTGCTTGCTGCGTTGTTCACAATGGGCGCGGAGGCCTTCTCAGTCTGGCGCTGGCGTAGAGGAACATATCCCATTTTCAGGAGTTTTTGACGTTCACGGGCCTGTATATTTCGTTAGTACTCGGTAATCCATACTGACCTGGCAAATGAGTGACTTACCACTTGATCTAGGAAAGTAGATTCATCTAATACTTCGTATACCTTGTCCTCTGGGCGGATCTGAAGTAATGGATCGGGGTCAAGACCACGAAATTCCTCACTGACCAATACAGGTTTAGCACCGTCTCCCCGAACCAAGGGCGCCAGAGGTGCCAACTTGGAACGGACAGACTCGGCTTCTTCGCGCTGCTGTTGACGTAGTCCTCGAACGCGCTCATCTATGACGGCCTGGTATACCTTCTTCAGCTTCGCGCGTGCCTTCCAAACAGTGAGACTGCGTAACAGTTCCTCCCAGTAATCCGTGTCAATAGGTTCATTGGAATCCAACTTTCTCCTAACCTGCCCTTCGAGTGCCTGGAGCTGATCGTAAGACTTGGGGCCTAGAAGCTTGTTGATATCCGCAGCAACGGAGTTGAGTGCACGTCCTTCGGGAGCTATCGTCTTTTGGCGGTCTTTGCAGATAACTTTCATCGTCTATAGTAACAAAGGGTTAACACATATTACTTGAACACTTGGTACAAGAATATTTACCTTCCAATAATCCCTATTCTGAGAGTTCGATTCCAACCCCAAGAATGTGTCAATGTCCTTCTCCAAATCGCCAAGCTGAGTCTGCGATAATCCCTCAAACACACCCTCAGGGTCTATTAGGTCGAGTTCCGAATCCGCAATTTCGTCGTCAAGAGGGTTCCTCGTTGGATCAATCACCCGCAGCATGACCGTAAGCCAGTCGATTGGTTTCGCGCGGCCCTCCTTCACTCGAATTTCTGCCTTCTTTTTCGCTTGCTTAAGAACAAAGATGTCTTCCTGAGCCACCCACTCGCGCACTCGCTCATCCTCTTGTAGCTGATTGAGCCGCATCTGGTCCTTCATTCCCCGAGCCTGGGATTGACCCGGTCGCGCATCGCGGTCGCGATATCTGCTGTTGTCATATCGTTGGTCTCGCTCGTCCGGCCGTCGAGCGTACTTCTGGGTGTGGTCCGAGTGCGGTGATCGAGATCGAGATCGCTTCGACCGTGACCTATCTGGAAATCGCGCTGACATTCTGAGATGCGGTGCTATTGACTTGTGGCGGAGTTGAGAATTGATAAGGCTTCTGAGAAGATCTGGAGAAGGTCCAGGTCTTTGATCGGAAGGCGGAAGGTGAGCCGATCGCCAGACTTTCCTCCGATGGCCCGTGCACTGTTGCCTCCGTCACTCAGCTGCCTTACACTCCATAAACACCTCGCCCGCCATTTCAAACGCAGAGCCTTGTCCATGATTTGAAGACGTTCTAGATATGTCTGAAAAATGGCAGCGACTGCATCTCGCGAACAAAGGGAATACCCCGCCTCTGCTGTTCAAATATTCAACGACAGCCAGCGGCTATGAGCTTTACATAACAGACCTCAACTATATATGGTCTGAGAATCTAGACAGGAAGGCCGTTCTCAAGCGAGCTGACGAAGATGACACCACAATTGATCCAAGTGAAGACTTGGAACAGTTTAAAGTTCTCTTGCAGAAAATCGGGGAGGGCTTGCAGAATGAGCCTGGAAGCAAAACATCACTCAATCCCAAAACAAGAGGAAGCGCTCATTCCCTGGAGTTCACCGTGACGTCCAAACTACCTGCTCCTCTCAGGCCACTGAGATGGAAACTGTGTCTGTCCAAGGAGCCGCAGTCTTCCATGACGAGCCATTTACTGCTACCATTTATCAACGCCGAGGCTGACCGTGAGGCCTGCCAACAGTCCCTTATTGATGAGCTTAATAAGAAGGACTGGGCTCTTGCAAAGATATTCGATAAAATTGAAGCTATAGGAGTTGACCTAAGTACCATCTTTCCCGGTACCTCTGGCCTCCGCAGCGCCGGTCGTAAGGGTCCAACTCTCGCACAGGCTGCGAAGTATATTAGGGGACTTGCGCCTTTCAACGAGCAGGCATGGCGCGAGGAAGTATTTAAATCCTCTCCAAATGCTGGTTTATCCTCCAACATCGTGGCGGAGATGTCCGCTGGCTCGCGGGATTCCGGAAAGCTCGATTCATTGAATCCTCCACCAGACGAATGGTGGACAGGCCTCACAATATCTGATGATACACTAACAGCTTCAACACTTGAAGGCGATAGTAAGCCTGAGCCAACAGCCAAGCCGTTGGCAGATGGCATGGATATAGATGCTGATGCTGGGTCCGAGACCGGGGAGGATGATGAATTCGAGGTACGTACAATTGCATTTCCAAAGCACATTACTTTCACACCAAAATCTCACGCTTCCCAGCGACAAGAAACCCCCCCTCATTTGAAGAAGCCAGAGAGTACGCCACAAAAGTCCACTTCGACTCGAAAGTACGAGGATGAAGTCACACAATCAGAGGACGAAGAAGCAACCTTCCCAAAACGTAAAAAGGAAGAAGAAACTAAGTCCAGGATGGACGATCAGCCGCCCCCTGCAATGCGTCCCAAAGCCGCCCCAGCAGGGAAGCCAAAAGGTCTTGGTAAAATTGGGGGCAAGAAGCAGACGAAACCGAAATCACCAACACCAACACCGACATTGTCACCGTCACCTTCACCGCAACCTCGTAAGACCGCTGCAGCAGAAAGTCCCTCCCCTCCACCAGTTAAAAAACAACAACAACCTGTAAACAATGACGACGATGAAACAACAGATGGCGACACAGACGATGAAGCCCAACCTAAATTGCAACCAAAACCAAACACCCAGGACAACACGAAACCGGCCGCTAAGCCATCCCGCGGGCTAGGCTTTATTGGAGGCAAAAAGAAAAAACAGCCAACCCCAGAACCCGAACCCCAGCCTGAATCGGAATCAGACCTGGAGTCAGACGGCGACAGGATACTTCCATCCCGGGCCCAATCACAATCCCGGGCACCAGAAGCACAACCACAATCTCCAGCGAAAAAGAAGCCTCTTGGTAGGATAGGCGTCATCGGGGGACAAAAGAAAGACAAGGCCAAAGAACAGAGTACGGAGATGACGGAGCTTACACAGACAGAGACCACCTCTCCGCCAGCAGCGAAGACGACGAAGACGACGAAAGCGACGCCAGCGCAAGAAACAGATGACGAAGAGATCAAACGGGAGGAAGAAACACGTACTAGCTCTCCGCCTAAAGAGAAAAAGGTGGTGAAAAAGGAAACACCAATAGAGCCAGAGCGCGAGGAGACGGAGGAGGAAAAGGCCGATAGGAAGCGGGAGGAGTTGAAGAGGCAGCTTGAGGCAAAGAGTAAAGCCCCTGCGAAGAAGAAACGGAGGTTTTAGTTGTCGGCTTCAATTTCGTTTTCGTTTTGGTTGATTCGCTACGGTGTTCGATGTTTGTTAGGTGCTTGGGTATAGCTGCTCTCGTTGGTTATGATCTAGCTGGATTTATATCGGGTCTTAGGAATAGTAGTTTGGGTTTAGTAAATTAGTTGTACGTATCACGAATGAATATATGCTAATGGTACAGATCATTATCGTTAACGCTAAAAGCAAGCAAAGAGCCCAAATACGCCTGTCACTGCTTGTAAACAGTTTCTATATACTAGATAAGGCCGAAAAGCAGAGTGCAATTGCATGTCAAGGGGGTGAGATCTGAAAACGGTAGAAAGACGCCAAAGGCGGTCTTTAAAGCATCACCTAGTAGGCGATTGACATAGCTCAACCAAAACTAGTACGCGCAGAGCTAGTTTTAGACGGCTTTACCTGCTCACTAGGCGTAACCAGACGCACTTTCTTGGGGGACGACATCAGATTCGAAGATGTTGCACTGGGAGCGACGCTGGTAGTCGTAGTGGTGGCCGTAGATGCACTTCCAGCCGACGCACCAACGCTTAACATACCGCGGACCTTTTCGACGGCTTTGCTCTCGCCCTTGGCCCAGGTGTCGCGTTTAACGAAGCCAACGCCGGCCTTTCGGCTGGCCGTGTCGCGCTTCTTTGATTCGTCGAGGAGGATGCGGCGGTTGTGTTCACGGCGGGGGCCCGGGGCGCAGTCGTGCATACAACCGGGGGTTGCGCAGCCGCCTTCACTTACATCAATGTCTTTTAGCCACGTGCTTATACAGGCTAGATGACCGCCGTGGCCGCAACCCTGGCACCAGGACCAGAGGGTGGTCCCCTTGGGGCGGGCGCGTTCATATGTCTTTAAAGGTTTTCCGTCAAGATCTCCTATTTCGGCAGGCAGGGCTTCGGTTTTGGGCGAGGTATAAGATGGCGAGAAGATGTTAGGGGCGAGGTCCGAATCCAAATCGAAGGGTGCGTCAAGGGGTAATGCACTCTGCTCCGCAACCCATTCTGGTGGCGGGCTGAGACTCATGCAAATGGTGCAGGGCTCCTGCGGAGTACTGCAGCGGTGGCAGCGAGTGTTGTCTGTCTTTGGGTTTTCATAGGGCCTTTTGCATGTGAAACAGAACACATTCATGTAGGTGTCTCCCTGAGCATATTCATAGACCGAGGAATAGGATGGCTCGCAGAGTAAGCGAAGCTCGGCTGCTTCGATATACATGGACTGACGGATGAGGTTTTCATTGTAGATTTTGAATATGGCTTCGCTCTCCGCATGCGGTAGAACATTCTCACAGTCCTCGAATAGAATACGCAACTTTTGAAGTAAGTGGGCAGCAGACTGGATATCAACCTCAGTACCACTGTGATAATGGCGTATCGCCTCCCTCAACAGCATTTCCGCGCTCCACGGATTATTGTCGGTTTGATTAGATAGCACTGGAATGGAGACACAGGGAAGACCGTTCGGAGTTCCAGAGTCTGCGAGGGTTGAGGTAGCACCATTTGTTGCTGGCCGAATAGCGACGTCCTCATCTTCTTGGCCCGGGGCCTTCAAAGGGGTCGATTCCTTTAAAAGCGGAGGCGGCGTAGATGGCCTGTCAAGATGAATATGGTGATGACCATTGGGGCTTTCAGCAAATGATTCATTGCTCTCAAACTCCTCTTCTGGTATGGAGTTAGAGGTAATAACTGAATCGCTACGCGTCCTTAGCATTCTGTCATTCCTAGAGACCCCTTCGTGTGCATCATATAATCTAGCGTCGGATGTAAACGATGTCGCCGGTGATTTGGAAGGATGCGAACTTGCAGTTGACGCAGAAAACATTAGAAAACTTTCAGTGGATTCGTGCCGATAGAAAGCGGGTTTAGCAGACCCGGCGTGCGATTCAAGTGACAGAGGCTTTTTGGGGAATATCTTGTAGTCTCGGAAGGCAGCCCGTTTGTCCTCCAATTTTTGATCGAATTCGTCCACGTCTGAGACTTGTTTCGTGAGCCGCGGTCGACCGCGACTATGCCAATCTGCTCTACCGGCAATTGCTAGAGGGGCAGATCTCTGTTCCTCCTCGATTTCGGCGGGAATGGAGTCACGTCGGCCAGTTGGCGGACTGTTTGACGGTATGCGCACATTTTCACTGACATTGGATTCACTAGCATTAGACTCGCGATGTTGGAGTGGATGAATAGGTCGAGAATCCATATCTGACATGGAAGACCACTCGTTCGAAGTCATGGTACCCTGGTTTGAGCTCAAAACCGACGGCGGCAGTGGTTGAATGTCCCTAGCTTCGTCCAAGGATGTGAACTGCGTACTGGGGTTGTCATACGAGTCGGGTGGGGAATCTGGTAAAGGTTGGGCAAGCGGTGTTGTCATGTTTGAAGCGCTCTCGATATCCGAGAGTGTGTGTTTTGGAGTTTCGTTCTCCATCACTCCCTTGAAGAAGCGAGTCTTCATTTTCTCATGTTTCGTGTCCTCTAAATTCCGCACTTTCTCGACAACTGGATCATCCAAGGAAGATTTCTTTTTAACAGTGCGAGTTCCCTTTTCTGGTGCCTGCCGCTGGTCTATTTCCCGTGCTTGAAGCTCCTGCACGATAGCATATTCCACTATGCGCCAGGTTTGGGCTAATTTAGACAATAGAATCTCTTCGGCACACTGGGCATTGTGGTTGAGTGAATCCAACAATGAGCGCAAGCGGTCTGTGTGTATGCCACTGAGCTTGCTTTGAAGGAGGGAGGAATACTGGCGAGCAAGGTACTGGAATGTCTCTTGATCCATCGTAGCTCCGGTAATGCTTACCACCATCCCCCTCTGGCACAGGGTCGAAGATGTATCCTTCGAGAGCAATCTCTCGAGCGGTAGTATTGGGATGAGATCGGTGGCTGTTGGTGGCGTACTGCCAAGCGACTTAGTTGTACGAATACTACTAGACTTACTATGGCGTGGCCGAATAGAAGCAAACAAGGGCTCATCAACAACTGCTTCCTCAGGGGGGCTCTGGCTTAGAGTCTCGCCACTGGAGTCCTCTTCTTCAGGCTGTCCAATAAACTCATTTGTGCTGAGGCCCAAGATACTCCTCCTGGGACGCTTCTGGGCGAAAGCAATAACCTCGCCGCTAGGGCTCCAGGCCACTGAGCAGGTAGGGCGTCGATTGACCACTTGGGGGGCATAGCGGATGTCTGTCTGAGTAAATACACCGCCATCACCTGCAGTCCAGAGGAGGTCCTTAGAATGCCAAAGCAAGTCGGTAGCAGTGGAATCATATCGGTCAAATTCTCGAAAGGGGATGTGAGGTCGACGAAAATCCCATAGATGGACCCGCGGGTCTTCCTTATCATATGAGGTCACTACTTGTGATGACTGCCAATCGCCAGAGCCATCTATCTCGCTAGACCATGAAGGCGGGCGCCAGCGGACATTCAGGACCGCCTGGGGAGTTCGAAATTGGAATTTAGGCTTCTGTCTGCGCTCGGCACCCGTTGAGAATTCCCAGACCTTAACTTGCCTATCCGTACCACCGCTAACGATATGCTTCCCGTCAGGATGCCAATCTACTGAATAGCAAGGCCTATCGTGAGCGGTAATCCGCATGACGGGACTGTTCGATTTGCGGATGTCCCATAGTTGAATTGCACCACTATCAGTGGCTGCAGCAAACATGACCCCGTCGATGGGAGACCACCTTATATCACGAACAGCATCGCTATTACCGTTAAAATTCTCCCTGCTACCACACACCGAGACACCACGATCTGCTGCTACAGCACGCAAATCCCACATCCGAATGTGGGCATCCTGGCTGCCAGAAAGGAGCCATGCTGGCTGATGTGGGTTGAAGGCTAGCCGATGAACCTGGCGGCTGTGACCTTGAAACCTGCAATATTCCAGGCCGGTTCGGTGTAGATCATAAACGACGATGCGGCCATTGGCCACCGCGGTGGCGATGATCTGATCGTAGAGCCCATGTGACCATTTCACATCCTTCACCGTCAGCTGGTCCTTGTGCCGCGCGGAGAGACCGCCGGCAGCATGGTGGGTTGAGGAATAGCTTATGATAGCATTGCGCAAGTTGAACTCTTCCGAAGAATGATCAGGCAGGACGCGGATCGTTTTCAGAATCTCTTTTCCTCCAATCACTGCATGTGTCCGTTGCGGGGAAATATCCAAAGCAGCAATCGAGATGCCTGTCTTATGGGTAACTGTTTGCGATGCTCCGGGCCTGCCGAATAACTAGTATTAGTATGGGTGCGTCAAAGCTTCGTTGCTGTTCAATGAGAAGATCCAATCGGTTCGGGGGTGTCTGACGCCGCGACCCTAGTACGACAGCATAGGCAATGCTTCAAACAGAGTAATGGACAGGGAGGGGGACTGGGAGGTCATACAAAGAGCTGGACCTGGTAGAACGGGCAGTCGCAGCAGGCGAGTCTGTACGAACCCCGGGACCGTGCGGGCTAGGAGGCCGAGACCCTGAGAAAAACGGCTGAGCGAATCTTGCAAGGGCACTGGCGGCGCGGTGCGAGTACTTGTTCTGGCTCTGTTGCACGGGAGCAGGTGGAGGAGGGGGAGGCGGAGCTGGGGAGGTGCTGCCGCGAGTGGGCAATCGGGGGAGGTCGGACATGCTTCAGTCTCGCGGCCTCAACAGGGCAGTCGATCAAGACCTAACCCGAAACAAAGCGAGGCTCCATAGTCGCCGGCGACAACGGTGAGTGAGCTTGCAAGCAAAGTGTCAGACGCGCCTGCGTGGGGAAGGTTCAGAAGCCCTCTTGAGATGACTTGTGACTGTTTGCTGCGGAGTGGTGTCAAGCAGCCAGTCGGGGAGGAGGCCCAGCGATTAGTCAGTCTGCGCGGTGCAGCTTGACAACACGGCCAAAAACCCGGAAGCTCACGAGTCGGAGACGAGACAAATGTCAGCCGAGCCAAGACAATCCAGCACAAATGGCACAAACGGAACCAAGGTAACGACCCCAGAGCTGGCGAGTTTGTTGGTTGGTTGGTTGCGGCGAGGCAATCGATCGAGAACCGCACGCGTGATGTAGGGTTCAAATCAGGCTTAGCGCCGTTTTCAGACGATACGAGCATGTTGAGTGTGGGGGAGTGTAAATTACAGGCCAGCAATGTTTCAGATACAGATCTATTTTTGCTTTTGCCGCCGATTGACCTGTCCAGCTGATATATCACTACTGCTCAGCAGGCAAGAAAGATCTGAAATATCTCTAACCAGCCCGAGCAAGTCGGCTTCCTGTATGTTTCCCAGGCCACGTATGCTCAGGAATGGAGGGCCCAGCTCCGGTTGGCTTGACGCCGGCAGGGCTGGATGAATGCAGGTTGGATTGGAGCAAACGACGCAAAGGGAGGGCTTGAGCTTTCAAACTGCTAGGGGCGGTGAGATCGTGGTGAGGTGGACTCGAGCTTTGCCATGGTTTGTCCATCTGACGTGGAAAAGAATGAGCAGATGGTCTGGGAACGAATTGGACGGCCCTCGAGCTTCGGCCACGATCATGAGATTTTGCCTCTGTACTATGTATAGAGGGTCTCGAATCTCGATCAGGCTGCGCGAAACATCGCCCGTTAGCAGGTTTTAGATCATCCGCAGCTTCGGGACTGGATGGGACTGGCTGGATATTTGGTCGGCGGGGAGAGGAAGAGAGAGGAGGACAGCCACCGCGATGTCTGATATACAGGGTGCCGTGATGATCTGTCGCTGACAAGCACACTCTTCAGGCATCAGATCAGCGATGCCACAATCTTCCAGACTCGGTTTGATTCAAAACATGAATTTTTTTTTTTTTTTGGCTTTTGGATTTTCCCGCATTTTCGGTCCGTGCTCTGCTTTGCTCTGCCATGCCAATCGTCACACCGGCAGCTTCATCCTCACAGGAGCTTAGCAAGTGAGCATCAAGCTGTATGCAGGCGTACTTCTGTACTTCTGCTACTGGAGAATGCGATCTGGCAGCCTCACCAGAACCAGGGCTTTTACCGCCATCTCATCGAGTTCAGAACGTATTCCCTGCGTTCATGATCCCATTGGGCACTAATCCCTCCCCAGCCCACTCGGCTCCGAGGAGTATTGGCCATTGATGATCTTCAGCAAGATCCTGGAAGACTGCCAAACGCACAAAAGAGTAGCCATCATAATTTGTATTTATATTTGCCTTTAAATTATAAATTTAGATGTATTCCTATTCCTATTAGTATTTTTATTTTTTATTTATTTTTTTTTTTTTCCAATACTTCGTTCCCATTCGACTTGTTCGGACAGTCTCCTCCGTATAGCCGCCCTCGGGAGAGATACGGGTGAATAGAGGCGAACCCAGGACGAGAGCCTTAAAAACCACATGCCGGGCACTCACAACCGACCCGGGAAATTCTCACCGTCGTAGGGAGTCTAGGGACAGGCCGGAAAGATTCCTCCAGGATTGGCATTTGAACAAAAGTCCTTTGAAGGAGCTTTGGTGCAGAACCGAGCTCTGGGGCCAGCTCCTGCACCCGCTAGTCGAGTCCGGAACGGTTCTGGCCAGGGCGCTGCTGCACATGCAGCACACCGTCATTTCTTTCTCCATTCTCCATCCCGGCTTCGACGTTCCTCGATTTGGATTCTCGCCATCGATCCTTTCCTCTCTCTTCTTCCCTCCTCTCCGCCACCTCTCTCTTCTCTTTTCAGTTCTCCCTCGGACTGCTTCTCATGTCCATTGCATCCTCCCCTCTCGGGTCGCCTGTGCTGTCCGCCCGCTCTGCTTCTCCCCTCCATCTCTATCTATAACCATAACCCTTGTATTCGCCTCGCGTGCCTTGTTTCTGTATTCTTGCATTCCTTCAATTGCCCTCGCCGCCTTTTAATTATCTTCTTTTATTCTTCCCCTCCTTTTTGGGCCACCGTATGCCGACATCTTCGAGGCGAATTCAAGAGAGAAACTCCTAATTTAGAAGTCGAGAACTCGGTGCGGAGACTTGTGCTCTTCTCTGTCGATCCTTTCGACCATCACGAATCCCGCCGAGACCAACCACCTACCCCCTCCGAATCACCTGTTCCCCGGTACATCGGTCGTTCCCGATCCGGCCTTGCCTTACTCCGTGCCGGTTTTCCAGTTATACTCACTCTAGAAGGGACGCCGCGGTCGCCGTGCCATGGAAAGACTTTGATTGACGGTCTTGGATATAGTGCCTAGGACCCTACGAGGAAGCCCGCCCATCATGAGTAGCCATACCGTCATGCGGAGTTTTTTGGAATACCTTCGAATTGGTTATCCAATCCTCCTCCTTGTTGTGTTTGCGTCGGCCTTCGTGGCCAGCTCGATCATAACTGCCAGAACGGCAAATCGAAATAACTGTACTCCACAGACGGGCCCGGGAGGCCGTCCGTTGCCCAAGCGGTCGAGAAGCACAGTGGCTGTGGTAAAAGCGCCGCAACAGTTTTCCCGAAATGCGAAAATATGCTTCAAGTTGCTCTCCTTTGCTGTTCTCGTTACGCTGGTGGCGGAGGCTGCCGTCAATGTAGCTCATGTGATGCTTGCCAGATCGCAGCAGTGGTGGTGTGGCCAAGCCGTAGTGGTATGGTCCCCTGGCGCTCCTCGCCGCATGGCATGGGAGAGTGCCCGACTTGAAAACCAATGGCCGAGCTAACAATTGATAGATCTACATCGTCGGATCCTTCTTTGACTACTCCATCATCCTCGTTTCCCTGCTTGATACCGAACCGTCTCCGACGTTTGCCCAGTTTGTGCCATGGCTGATAGCCGCGCCCATCGAACTGGCGATACTTGGACTTTCGGTCTCAATCTATTCTCGGCCCCATCATGAATCTGTGGTGGGCGATCCAACTGGCGGCCGGCTCCGAAGAGGCATCACGCCTTGGGAGGCCGCGGGAGTTATTTGCAACAGCATCCGTCTCTTGATTTTACTCATCCTGGTCATGCTTTATGCATGCAGTTCCTTCAGGTCATCATATTTTGGCCGTAAAACGCCCAGTATGAATGGGATCAATGGGATCAATGCCGGGGGAGCAACAGAGACTACGGGGCTTCTTAGTTCCGGTACCGAGAATGGTCACGCCTATGGAGCAGCAAATGGAAATGGCGTTCATGGTGATCACCAGAAGCCCAAACCGGCTGACCCTTGGGTGCGGCCGACGACACAGCCATCCACGAGTTGGTGGGAATACCTCAGCGGATATTCTTTATTCTTTCCGTATCTTTGGCCATCTAAGTCTCGTCGTCTGCAGATTGTGGTCCTCATTTGCTTCCTCCTTATTGTTCTTCAACGTGTCGTCAACGTTCTTGTCCCTTATCAAGTCGGCGTGATAACCAGGAAGCTATCACAACAGGGCGACGCATTCAGTGTACCATGGTTTGATATCTGTCTGTATATTTTGTTCAGGTGGCTTCAAGGTAACCAGGGCCTCATCGGGTCCCTACGTTCCAGCTTATGGATCCCTGTGAGCCAGTATTCTTATATGGAACTTTCGACAGCTGCTTTCGAACACGTGCATAGCCTCAGCTTGGACTTCCACCTCGGGAAGAAGACTGGCGAGGTTCTTTCGGCTCTCAGTAAAGGTAGTTCCATCAACACCTTCCTAGAGCAAGTTACTTTCCAAGTGGTTCCGATGTTGGTCGATCTATGCGTCGCGATTATTTACTTCCTTATTGCGCTAGACGCATATTATGCTCTCGTGGTCACGATTGTGACTTTCTGCTATCTTTACGTGACTATCCGTATGGCTCAGTGGAGAGCGGAAATCCGAAGACAGATGGTTAATTCATCCCGACAAGAAGACGCTGTGAAGTAAGTCATCCAGCCTACTACCTCTATACTTTGATTTACTCATATGACGCACTCAGGAACGATTCAATGGTCTCGTACGAAACAGTCAAGTACTTTAACGCAGAAGATTATGAATTTGGAAGGTATCGGGGAGCAGTAGCTGACTTCCAGTCGGCGGAATACCACGTTCTGTTCTCACTGAACCTTATGAACACTACGCAAAACACCATTTTTATGCTTGGACTGTTGATCGCTTGCTTCATCGCCGCGTATCAAGTATCCCTAGGCCAACGAGATGTAGGTCAGTTTGTTGCGCTTCTCACATATATGGCACAACTGCAGGGCCCGCTCAATTTCTTTGGAACTTTCTATCGTTCGATCCAGTCAGCTTTGATCAACTCGGAGCGATTGCTAGAGTTGTTTAGGGAACAGCCTACGGTTGTTGACAAGTCCAACGCCCGGCCGTTGCCGGTTTGCAAAGGGGGCATCAAATTCGACAACGTCGAATTCTCCTACGACACTCGTAAACCGGCGTTGAACGGTCTTACATTCCACTGTGAGCCTGGTACCACAACTGCACTGGTTGGTGAGTCTGGTGGCGGGAAGTCGACTGTCTTCCGCCTGCTTTTCCGATTTTACAATTCTGAAAGAGGTCGCATCCTAGTTGATGGACACGATGTGGAAGGCATCACCATTGACTCCCTCCGAAAGCACATCGGAGTTGTGCCTCAGGACACTGTTCTCTTCAACGAGACTTTGATGTATAACTTGAAATACGCCAACCCAAATGCCTCAGATGAAGATGTCTATGAGGCTTGTCGGGCTGCTAGTATCCACGATAAGATCATCTCATTCCCGGAT